GTCCTTGATTGTTCCCTTGATTCTTTCTCGAGAATCCATGGTAATATTACTCTAAATTGGGAATCAGATAGCCCATTAATAATTCTTTGCATTCCTTAATCTTCATCCTTAAACATTGTTTGACGAGGAAGGAATTCAAGGGACTGATATGTTAACAAATCTCAGATAAAAGACCGGTGACAGAAGGCATCATTATGTCAATATAACATACCGGTTATTAGTTGATCTATTTCAATCCGTAAGATTTCCATTCCTTGAAATTTGACACATCCTCTAGTGGCCTCCGCAGTATTGCCTGATCGAGTGAAGATTGGTGATGATTGAATCGGGGTATGATTGTTGAATGAAGCACTATACAAATGTAGGTCAAAGAATTTATTTTATCTTAATTTCAATAGTACTGTTTTGCAATGGCAAATTCAAATCATGCTTAGACTTTATGTCCTTAGCTATTTCTGTTGGGAGTCATGATGGATATGCCCAGAAACGAGCTTGCGCAGGAAGAGAAGACGGGTTTAGCTAAGCCTAAAGGCACAGTGAAAACCATAGAGGTCATTCTTAGACTTGTCTGTTGCTGTTTCGGTTATTTCCCTGAGATTCTACTACCTTAGTTTGCATAATAGTCTACTCGATGTGAAATGTTGAAAGTGAATTGCAATGTTATACTACAGTGTGATAATGGTGAACCGATCCATTGTATCGACATCCTCCGGTATGGTCATCCACTTTCGAAGAATCACATCCGCCAGGTATGACTGAATTCAATCTAATTTGGGACAAATGATGTTGAAATGTTATGGAGACCGAACCTTATGAGCAACCTAATTGCGGTTTAACCATTCAACCATATGAGACAACATCCTATTGAAGGCCAGCACGTAGGCATTGCAAGAGAAGTCAAAATTTTCAGGGATACAAACCAATTTTGATGGTTTTCGGTGATTCTCCTGTTGATTAGCACTTAGTTGGGCTAGCAGAAGCTGAATCCATCACCACCATCGTGGCTCTTAGACTAAACCAAGCTGAAGACCAAGACAAGATTAACGCAATTTAAACATATATGTGGACGACAACATGAGATGCTTTTAGGAGGCCCAGGCCAAAATATAGCCATCCTAAGCAAAAAGTAGTTTCAGTTTCTTAGGAAGAGAGCCAGTTAGATGGCTCTTTTCTCTGATCATCTAACGAAAACTGAAACTTTCATCTTCGATACTTCACAGATAAACCCGGTCTCAAGCCCGAAGTCACGTGAGGCATACATATCCGAAGGCAAGTGCTATCCAGCTTGGTGGGACTATGGAGAATGCCCCGACGGAACGGAACCCATGCCAGAGACCATAGGTACGCCTATGGCAAAAATACGTAGCCCATCCTTTCCTTACAACAAATGAAGAGAGTCAGTCGAAGCCAACTTGACCCGATCCAAGCTGTTGGTCATGAAGTATGCGCAATCCAAATAAAAGAAATGTTCTTAAGAACGTAATATTTGAGTTCATTTTTCATCACAGAGATGCTCTGATTGCATTAAAGCAGACATCCTAATGAATATAATGTAATGTTACATGGAATAGTATGCCCAAGTGTCTTACTGTGGAGAACATGCGTATGTCAATGTGGGGAACGCCACAGTATTGGACAACGAAGTTAGTTACTGTGAAATGTGGGTTGTGGCGGCGCAAAACAAGAATATTAATACTATGGAGGTTGGATAGACGGTTGTCACGACGACCCTCCCAAAGGTTATGGGAACGGGTTTGGAAGTATTGCTTGACAGACAGTCCGAGTGGTTCATCTAAAAGATTGTTCTAAGGACCCATCTAAGGACAATCCAAGGGGTCCATTGATTATGATCCTAAACTAACCTGAACCATTCTAGTAAGGAAAAGCAACAAACAATCTATTGAAATGGTGAGAATTAAAAACCAAAGCATTTAAAAGCTCAAACAAAAAGTGCAAAAATGAAAACCCAATACTTGTCGGGCAAAGAATGTACATTGTCACGTTATAAGCCCCAGGACATGATCCCCATGGGCTAAATTCAAACCAAGTTCAATTTCTCACCTAAAAGACTAATCTTTTTTTAATAATTTCAACATTAAGGCTTAAAAAACACCAAAGGAAAACCTCACTATGGACAAAGATCTTAAAGACACTAAGCGAATGCTCACTGTTGTCTACCACCCAGAAATCATGACAAACCAGAAACTAACGTACAAGGGCTATTCAGTTACGAAGCCCGATCCGACTCAGTTGGATCGAACCCAGCTGGGTCGGAACGTGACAAGGCTATTTCTAAGCGACGCCGCATCAATCACCTTCTTCTCATCTCTTCTCGTTCCCATCGCTCGCTTGAACAGACGAAGAAACCTTCTCCGTCGCCGGGGACAATGGGGTTCTTCGACCTGAACATCCCCTATGACGCCTCTTCTTCGCCGTCTGACAAGGCCAACCGCGTCAGAATCGTGGCCAAGGCGATGGAGCTCGGCTACGACGGTGTCACCCACAAACGCTCGATGAGGGGTCATGTCCAATCGCTACCCCTGCTCCACTCGCTCTCCTCGTCCGTCTCCCCCTCCACTGCTGCTTCCTCGGCCTCCCTCTCAACTTGTTCGCCTTCAAGCCTTTGAAACAAGCCGTCCTCGATCACGTTTGTGAGCAGTCCGACGTAACGTGACAGCATGACGCAGTTAGGATTCTTACTTCTCTGTTCGGGAAATCGAACGGCTCAGTGTTCATCCTCGGATGTCGGAAATTATGACGGAAATAGACTGAATTTATCTTTTTGAAGAATGCATGACTGTTTAAAAATGGAGAAAAGCAATGGAGATTGGAGCAGTTCCTACTACATCTCACGTTGATTCAGGGAGCAATTGATTCGTGTATCGATCTTTTGTTTCAATGGAAATTGTTTCGTAATAGTCTCGTCCCGAAACTTGCGTAGGTAGATATATAATTGCCATTGATGTCTCCGGGAAGCTCCCCTTTCGCTTGAAGCACCCCATGGTCAGAACTGCCATTGAGATCTGGCCCCTACTTTTTATTCCTTGTTTTACACGTTTTAATTTCACGGTAGGGATGAACGATGAACTGTGGACACTTGCTCTTTTTATAAGTCCTGTAATAGTTTTGCAATAGGAATTCGAGATCCTAAAATGATAAAGAGAGATTTCTTTAATCACATAAGAATTATGTACTCCGCAGGAGTGCTGCTTAGTTAGAGAGCTTGGAATCATCTTGTAGTTTTGCATATATTGCATTTCTAGAGGAATAATAAGTGCAGCCACTTTGGATCAGTTGTGCGGATGACTTATCGAAATTTGCTAAGAGTTGATCAGTGCAATTAGGATGATCGGGTTTAGAGGATCTTCGAGCAAGCAGTTTTGTTCCTATAAGATGTTTCTTTTTGAGGAATGTGTTAGCTTGGAGTTTGACATGTTCTTCTATGTCAAGTTGGAAGTTGCTGACATCACAACTACAGCTCAATTAGTCATCTTTCAACTCGATTATTTCATCTTTCTTATTTGTTCTTTTGAGAAGACAATACTCCTTTTTTAAAGCTTGGTTTAGAAAGTACTTGTATTTGCAGTTTTCCATACTGAAATCATTTGCAAATGAGTATCAGTATAGCCTCGTAAATCTTTCAGAACATTGTATGGACATTGAATGTCAGTGAAATTAGAGGGCCTTCCGATGTTGCAAATGTGTCATCCTGGTAGATTGGACACGCCCTGGACAAAAGATTTGTGCAAGGATTTAAAAAGAGCCGGGGCATATTTTGGTTTACATTATGCTACAGATGAAAACACCATGGAGAATCTGAATTGAAGTCCTCAAGAATAGTTATTTTTGGTCTATGATAATTTTCCTTATTGTGGAAATGTTTCGGAGTCTAGCCAAGTAAGGGAACATAGAGATGATGCAACCTTACGTGTAGAAGTACATTCTTCAAAATGTGATGATTCTATGGAATCAAATGATGAACTAGAAAATGATGAGTCACGGGCGCGGGTTGCTATGGAACCTCAGAAACTTTGTACAAGGGGATGTGTTGTAATCGGCGACGCAACGAAAGCGGATCGTAACTTTATAATTAAGTCGGGAGCTATAGAAATCGACAGAGAAATAAAACGAGGAACAATAAAAGGACAATAAATTTTACATGGTTCGGTCCGAATGTCGGAACCTACGTCCACGGGGACAGTCAACAAATAATCCACTAATAAATCAGAAAATTACAGAGTTCTAATTACTCACATAATCGAGTGTTTCCTAGCCCCAGTATATACACAATACCCACAGTTTTTAATAACTCAACTTGATGGACTCTCTTTACGCGCAAATCTCTCGGAGCTCTCACCTCTCTTTTTCTCTTGCGCTCTCTCTCTCTCTCCCGTTTCCCACCGTCTCTTGCTTTTATAGAAGCAAGGGAGCAACTTCAAGACAAGAGAAAGTCAAGCATGCGCCCGATTAAGGGATGGGTTGCCGTCTTCACAGATCTTGTCCATGGACGTTCAGCTCCTTCAATTAACGCGCACACGGGAGCTTCATTATTCTTTCCTTTACAACCAAAGAAAATAGCAAAGGAAAGAAGCAAAAGATGTTAACGAAAGAAGACGAAACAAGCCCACAACTTTTTCTTAGGTCAATCCTTCTTGCGATGGAGAGTTTCAATGTAAAACCAAGAAAGAGAAGCTTGTGGGATCATCTTTCATTTAATGCAAAGATAGTGGAGACCTCTTTTTCAGCTGAAGCAAATCTCTCTTCAGTCCCGTGCGAGAGTCAAAGACAAAGAGAACAACTCTCTGCCATTTCGCGTGGAGTGCCCTTCCAGGACACTACTTCGGATATTTCTTTTCCTGTAAAGTTGGTAAAGAAATTCTGACCAACTTACACGATTTCGCGTAAATTTTGGCTATTTATTTAACGTTTAATTACATAAAAAAAATTAAAGGTTAATTCTTAACCCTTAAACAAAAATGATTCTCACTAACTTGCATAACATATAGACATTAGCCCGGCCCGTTTCCTCCCTCACTCCCTCACGCTTTCACGGTTCTGGCAGAACCAACAGAGGACAGCCAGAAACAGGGGAAGCAGGACAGACGCCACAGCAGGAGGGCGGGCGTCGATGAGGCTGACGGTCCGCGGAAGGTCGGAGAGGCAGGCAGCTGTTGGCCCGGGGATAAAGAGTGGCCGAGAGAGACACGGCCACGGGGGAGTTAGAGGGGAGATCGGAACAGAGAGAGACGGAGAGCGTTAGCAAGAACAGAGAGGGAAAGGGGGAGTTTCCGGCGCCGCCGCGCCTCCACCTCAGCCGTCAACCCTCGCCGACACGCCTCGTTTTCTCACGGTAGGTCTTGGTCTGTGTTTTTTTTATTTTTCTTCAACGGGTTGTGTCGATTTCCCGAGGATCCTAGCTCGGAGGGGGGCGCGAGGTGACCGGACGTGGTCCGATCCATCGACTCATTCGCCGCGGCCGAGCCGGGTAGGAGGTGCCACCGCGACCGCCGCTGTTGTCGTGCCCCGTGTCTCGTTGCCGGGATCCTGAATTCGTGTGTCGAGAGTCACGGTCCGGTTTGAGTCTCGATTGAGCGAGAAATCTTTCGTTTTTGTAGCGCGCTTAAACTGTTCGTCGAAATGCCTGAATGAGATCCGGTTGTAGTTTCCACGTTTTGGCCGAAGCTGTGTTGCCCTCGTGTTGTTTTGCTCTGTGTGGCGTCCTTGTCGTGTGTGATGTGCTCTCGGGTGTCGATCGTTTTGTTCGTTCCACGGCGTTTTTACCCCCTTTGCCACTTTTTCTACAAACGGCCGAGAAAGGGTATGCTCGACGTGGCCGTTGATAGGGCATCGCCGGGCACTTGGCCCAGCTCGGCTGAGGTAACGCAGCCTCAGCCGGACGGAGGCGAACGACATGCCTTGCCGCGGCCATCTCCGTTGCAGCGAAGCTGCTGCGATGCAGTGACGGAAGCCGCGAGCCGGGCCGGGCTTGGCTCGCGGGTGGGACCGGCCCGGCTTATTTTGTTCTGTGTGGCATTGCACGAGTGACATTTGCTGTAGTTGATTTTTGGTAAACCACGGACAAGATCTTTTGAAGAAATCATTTTCTAGAATTAGCGGGTTGGGTAATTTGATTAGAATCACGGTGAGTAATGGACTTCCTCTAGAATCCATAATTGCGCTAGAGAAAGGAAATGACATATACAAGGAAAATAATTGGATACGAGGGTTGTCCTTTATTGTTCCCTTAATTCTTTCTCGAGAATCCCTGGTAATATTCCTCTAAATTGGGAATAAGATCTAGCCCATTAATAATTCTTTGCATTCCTTAATCTTCATCCTTAAACATTGTTTGATGAGGAAGGAATTCAAGGGACTGATATGTTTACAAATCTGGGATAAAAGACTGGTGATAGAAGGCATCATTATGTCAATATAACCAGTATGTTATATTGACATAATTTGGCAATATAACCAGTGAAGATTGGTGATGATTGAATCAGGGTAGGATTGTTGAATGAAGCACTATACAAATATAGGCCGAAGAATTTCTTTTATCTTAATTTCATTATTACCGTTTTGCAATGGCAAATTCAAATCATGCTAAGACTTTATGTGTTGAGCTATTTCTGCAGGGAGTCATGATGGATATGCCCAGAAACAAGCTTGCGCAGGAAGAGAAGACGCCTTTAGCTAAGCCTAAAGGCACAGTGAAAACCATAGAGGTCATTCTTAGACCTATCTGTTACTGTTTCGGTTATTTCCATGAGATTCTACCAGCTTAGTTTGCATAATAGTCTACTCGATGTGAAATGTTGAAATTGAATTGCAATGTTATACTACAGTGTCCCGATACAGGTGAAACGATCCATTGCGTCGACATCCTCAGGCAACCCTCCTATGATCATCCACTTCTGAAGAATCACATCCTCCGGGTATTGCTGAATTCAGTTTAATTTGGGACAAATGACATTGAAATATTATGGAGACCGAACCTTATGGGCAACCTAAATGCGGTTTAACCATTCAACCATATGAGAGAACATCCTATTGAAGGCCAGCATGTAGGCATTGCAAGAGAAGTCAAATTTTTCTGGGATACAAACCAATTTTGATGGTTTTCGGTGATTTTCCTGTTTATTAGCACTTAGTTGGGCTAGCAGAAGCCGAATCCATCACCACCATCGTGGCTCTTAGACTAAACCAAGCTCAAGACCAAGAGAAGATTAACTCAATTTAAACATACATATGTGGACGACAACATGAGATGCTTTTAGGAGGCCCAGGCCAACATATAGCCATCCTAAGCAAAAAGTAGTTCCAGTTTCTTTGGAAGATGAGGCAGTTAGGTGGCTCTTTTCTCTGATGATATAATGGAAGTTGAAACTTTCATCTTCGATACTTTACAGATAAAACCGAAGTCAAGCCAGAAGTCATATGAGGCATTAGTATCCGAAGGCAAGTTCGTTCAAGCTTGGTGGAAATATGGAGAGTGCCCTGAAGGAACGGTCCCCATTGCAGCCAGCAAAGGCACACCTACGTTAAAAAAATCACACCCATCTTTGCGTTTCAACAAATGAAGAGAGTCAGTCAAGGCCAACTTGACCTGATCCAAGCTGCTGGTCATGAAGTATGCGCAGTCTGAAGAAAAGAAATGTTCTCAAGACCGTCACCTTTGAGTTCATTTTCGTCACATAGATGCGACATCACAACTACAGCTCAATTAGTCATCTTTCAACTCGATTATTTCATCTTTCTTATTTGCTCTTTTGAGAAGACAATATTGCTTTTCTAAAGCTTGGTTTAGAAAGTACTTGTATTTGCAGTTTTCCATACTGAAATCATTTGCAAATGAATATCAGTATGGCCTCGTAAAGCTGTTAGAACATTGTGTGGACATTGAATGGCAAAGGGGATTTCCTTAAGAATTGCTTAAGCATGGAACGTATGAGCACTCTTGGCCATCTTTTGGGCACTGAGTTGGTGCTCCAAGTGTCAGAATATTCTTGCATGCTCATCAATTATTACTGGACAGTAGCCACGAGTCAGTGCCCTTCATTTTAGTAAAAAACTTGTCATGGTTTTGTTGGTGGCACATTGATGATGTCCAGTGCAATTTGAATTTCTTTAAATGATGTTTTTTCCTTCTTTTTTGGTCTCGAATGTATGGCAAAAGCACTCTGATGTACTTAGTACTGGGGATAAGCGGTTCTAAATTCCTTACTGGTTTTACTTGGAACTTGGAGCCTACCTTCGGATATATGTTCCTCATTTTTTGGAACCTGGAATCTACCTATCGAAACCTAGAACCTAAAATTTATCCTGTTACAAGTTACAGGGTCTAATAGGTTTTTTTTTTTTTTTTTTAATTTCATTTTTAGTTAAACAAAACGAAAATGAACGCAATAATACTGAACAAGCTTGTCATTCACCAAAGAGAATACAAAAAACTAGTTTTTCTGGCATTATGGTTCAAATAAATACAATTAAAATGAAAAGTCATTACGTGAATCAATACTAGGGGTGAGTGGTTTCATGTTCCATACAGGTTCCACCTGGAACCTACCCATGAGAATACGTTCCTCATTTTGTAAAATCTGAAACCTACCCTATCATAGGTTCCAGGTCGGTTCCGAGGTCTATCCAGGTTGCACATATATTATTAATTGAACAATTGTAATGAATCATCACCTTTAATGACCACCATTTGCTGCTATGATCTACTGACCACAATTTATATTTAGACACATGAAGAATATGAAACATTAACAAGTCATGAAATGATACTATTTAACGTCATGAAACACTACAGGATCACGCAAAGACATAGACCAAGAAAAAACACAAAAAACTTGTTTAGGTTTCGGGGTCCTAGTTCCAGGTTCCATCTACCCAGAACCGAAAACTTACCCGTCGAAACAGGTTCTCAAATTTTTTGAACCCGGAACCTACCTTGCATACCTTGAAACTTGAAACTTACAAGTTCTCCCTGGTCAGGTTCTCAGATTTCAGGGTAGAACTTGAAACCATGCTCACCCTTCTTAGTACTTGTTCCATTAATTTTTAGCTACTGGTGGATTGGACGCGTGGAAAAAATCTTATCACCACAAGTGCAAAATCTTCTGTCAATGGAATTAGAGGGCCTTATGACATCCTGGTGGATTGGACACGCCCTGGACAAAAAGATCAGTGTTAGGATTTACGAAGTGCTGAGGCATATTTTGGTATACATTATGCCACAGATGAAAAAATCATGGAGAATATGGATTCAAATCCTCAAGAATAGTTATTTTTTGGTCTCTGATAATTTACCATATTGTGGAGATGTTTCGGAGTCCAGCCAAGTAAGGGAACGTAGAAATAATGCAACCTTATGTGTAGAAGTACATTATTCAAAATATGGTGATTTTATGAAATTAAATGATGAACCAGAAAACGATGAGTCACGGGAGGGGGTTGCTGTGGAACCTCAGAGCTTTGTACGGGGGGATGCAGTAATTTCTTAGCCTAATTTGAATTTAATGTCATCAGGTACTAGGTATGCACCCTTTCCTACCTTGTCAGATTTAGATTACTTACAATGAAATGGCCGTACCACAGAGCCTTTGCTAGACAATTCTTACATTAGTTTATTAGGCATTTACGAGGGAGACAATCCTCCCTATCTACTTCATGTGAAGATGAACTAAACCAAGCTCAAGACCAAGACAAGATTAACTTCGAAAGAATGTTCGGTCACAAAAAGTTGTGCATTGTGATCATGAGTAGCCTTCTCCACGAGGAAGTACATTATCAATGGGGTACCGTGTCTGCATACATTATCTAGGGTTTTTCTCTTCTTTTTTCTGCTGGTTTAACTTCAAACATAGGAAAATTTGACAATGATTGGTTATGCTCATGAATAGGAAATATGTAGAATGCGTAGAAAGACATGTATAATTGTGTATATATGAAGTAGAAATTAAATTCTCTCTTCTCTTTACTTTTTGTTAGAATCCCATATGATACAATTTATGAGTACTTGGTGCAAGGAATAGATACCAAATGAACCACTCATATCAGGGACCATTTGGAAATAATAATGCGAGCGTACAAACATTCAAATGCACTCCAAAGTACGTCATTCCTTAAAATTTTAAAATAATTACTCGTTTCACCTAATTAATTGGACTCAATTTCACTCAAAGACTTGAGTTAACGATATCTTGGGTAAATGAGCAACTTAGTTTTGATTCCGATAATGTGGGACTATTGCATATAAAAAGTTTGTGGAATCAATGCTAATTGTTGTAAAACCTCCAACAAGAGATAGCCCAGGTCTAAAGCTGTCATTTATATGCAACTAGACCAAATTTAACCGAATAGCTAACTTTTATTAAAACGTATGTCCAATGTGGACTTCTCCCATTCCCAGCTCTACAGATCTTTGGTACTAGTATAGAGCTCAAATTAACTAGATCTGTCAAAATGGGTGATAAATCTAATTCTTAACCCATATTTGATGGGCCGAGTTATTGTATAGGTTAGTTATATTTAGTAAATAAGTTATAAATGGGTTTAGAATGGTAAAACCTAAAATAATATGAGTATTAAATGGATTCACAACTTAGTTAGATTTAATCCACTTCTATGACTCTCAATTGACTCTCACTCTCGCCCTCACTCGATCTCGCGCTCGCTCACTCCGCGCTCCAACCTCAGTTTGAGTATGAGTTTTTCTATATTGGATTGAATATGGAAGTGCTTTAGCAATATGGGTAAGATTGAGTACGAGTTATTAAATTTGTATCGCATGTAAATGGGTCAAAACGAGTTAAATGGGTTAATTTGGGTCGGTCATTTTCTACCCGATCCGATCCAACCATTTGACGGATCTAAACATGGGCTACATCTGATTTCTTCAATCATACATATAAATTGGCAAGAAACTTTCTCTCTTTTGGACCCAGAGAAACAGCAATGCTCGTTACAGTTACCAAACTTAATCAATTTGCCGATAAATTACTGATGTATTTTACTGGCGGCTGCAATCGCTGGTCAACAATGTGGGGTTTATTAACGTTAACTAAGTAGAAGAGTCGTGATTTTTTACTTTCAAGATATCAATAATCTATGCGTAACTTTGAAGGTCACATTAATTGTCCTTTGAGGAAGGGCAAATCAGAAGAAAAGAGAGCAGAAAAAGGGAATAAAAAAGATACGGGCCGTTCAAGATACAAATGTGTTGAGGTGTCCACATCTCGAGGTCGAGGGACTTCTTATTTGTTTTACGTGGGACTTTTGTTTTGGCTGGTGATAAGAACACAGATGTTTTCCTCATTTTGTTAATGTGTTTCTAAGTCACAAGAAGAACACACGCACACACACCAAAAAACAAGCACGTGGTAAACACATTGAACTGTTCTTTTTGTATAAAATAAAAAAATCAGGATCCCATCGACTATTGCTGCTTATTATATATTATTCTAATTCCCCTTTCGAATCTCAAGGTTTGGTAAGCACCGATTGCGGGGCAACCATCTTTGCGTCCCCCTCCGAATCTCAATGTTTCCACAGCATTGGCTCCGGGTCAGCAACGTGGCAATCCGACCAAAAAAAAAAAAAACAGCAACATGGCAAGCGGGGAAAATAAAGAAATATTGTTGAAGGGGACCAATCTAAGTATAGAGGATAAATAAATCCAGTAATTCAGACAATTTCCATTAACAAGGATAGAGATTTGACTACCATGTCAATTTTTCCACAGCACATTAAACTAGATAGTTATGCTTATTCGCATTTAATTATTAAGTTGGGATGAATTTGCCCGCAAGTCACCGATGTAAGATACTTTTTAACATTTCTAATAGATTTCTTTTGATATTTCATTTTCATTGAAAGCTACGTATGACTTCTCGTTTCTCGAGTTGCCCATGCATAACCAAATAAATTTCCTCACGTGAAGCTTTTTTTTTTATGAATGAAATTGGCTAGTGCATATAACAAAATTATCCTTTGGTGATGGTGCATGGCAAGTGAAGGTGGCCGGTTCGAACCATGGTAAGGTTTGTTGATAGCGGTGGTTCATTCGGTGGTCGTTGTAGATGATTCAAATGTAGCAAGAGAACTTCGGAGATACAAATGTCCAACATGGAAACATCGTCTGCGAATCAATTATTTCTGGTCATGCCAAATGCTGAAAATGTGAGCCACAACACATCCTCCTTGTATTAATCACTCCTCCTTCTCATAATTTACCGGATGGTTTTTCGCGGTGGATTCCTCCAGCGGAAAAAAAAAACAGTTAATTTCACTGTGTATTGTAAAAAGAATAGCGCATAATCCGATTTTACTTTGATGCATTTGCTGACGAAGACTTAACTGCAAGTCTTGGTCTTCTTGTATTGTAGCCACTAGCAACGACTCGGTCAACTATAAAGTGAAGAATTGAAGATCGGAGTAATGCATGCGCGAACAAGCACCACATGGGGTCGGTTGTTACTCCCTATGCTCATAGTATATTCAATGGACCAAGAACTTTCGATAATAATCGCCTAAATCCGAGTCCATCCTATAACAATGTACTGCCAAGCACACTTGAAGAGCGCAGTACAGGGGAGAGTTGTATATCAAGAAACAAAATAATCACTACCAATGAAATATACTGGCCAATAGCCATTAAGATGAAGTTCAAATCGTTGTGTCGAGAGCTCGTGATATGAATATAAGGCGTGCATGCATATCTTCCTCACACTTCTCTCTCTCTCTCTCTCTCTCGTGTCCGCATTGAGCAAAGTTTCTAAGTTTTCATGGGACGCTAAGTTATCTCAGAGTAGAGGTGTCAAAATGGGTCTTAAACCCATTCAAAATGGGTCATATATGGGTCACTTTAATTTTAAAGAGCTAACCTTAAATGGGTTTTAAATTTTAAAGTTTAAAGATAAATGGG